TAGATTAGATTAGATTAGATTAGATTAGATTAGATTAGATTAGATTAATGAATGGATAGATTTGATAGATAGATAGATAGATAGATAGATAATAAGATAAATAGATGCATACATAATTTTTCAGTACTACACTTTTGAAATATCACTCCTTAAAATGTATAGAGCATAACATAATTTTTAAACAGTCCTCTAGAAATATATATTTTATCGAGTCATTTATGCTTGTAATAATTTGACTCTTAAAGTAACCATAAATGTAAAACACATTCAAAGAGGCTGTTCACATCTAGATGCTGCATAGAAAATGAATAATAAATAAGGATACTATATAGTTATACCAAAAAGAATGCAACTAAAATTATGTCTCATAGCAAAAATTTATTATTGTAAATTTTAAAAACTTCAATCTTATACTTGTTTTCTCAGAATTTTCCCTGCCTTTGGTGAGGCTTATTTCTGGCACATGTGATAGGTTTTCGTCTCTTAAAAACTGAGGAAAAGAATAATAAGACTTTTTAAGAAGTGGATTCATGATTTAATAGGTTTTTTTGAATATCTCATTTGTGATTTGTAAGTTTCGTTAGAAATGTATCTACGTTTAATGTAATAGAAATTATACAAACTATGTTTCACTGTATGTTGTAACCAGAGGTGATATTCAGCAGGTTCTGACCAGTTCTGCAGAACCGGTAGCAGAAATTTTGAGTAGTTTGGAGAACTGGCAAATACCACCTCTGACTGGAGATTTTATAGTATCCTTCCCCTGCCATACCCACCAAGCCATGCGCACAGAACCGGTAGTAAAAAAAAATCTTGAATCCCACCACTGGTTGTAACTAATAATTAATGCCTGTTCTTATGTCTCTAAATAACTCTGTTCATGAAAAGCAAAACAAGCTGTCCTTGTGTTTATTTTTTAACAGTTTTTTTTCTTTTTTTATTATAGATTCTTCAAGAAGACTTAGAACAGGAACAAGTCAAGGTTAATTCACTTACTCATATGGTAGTTGTAGTAGATGAGGCTAGTGGAGATAGGGCTACAATTGCATTAGAACAACAACTTCAGGTAATTACTAAATTAAGATTGCTATATGATTCCATGCATATTTCTCCTACATCTAAGTAATACTGAAAGTATATAATTCTACAGTAAATGAAAAGTAAAATTGTTAATATTCTTTAAAACTGAATTGGTCACTCTAATGTTAGTTTACATTCCATAAAGAACTATCATCCTAGCTACTATTCAGGAGAAAAGTGTCAGACATGTGCCACCTTTATTTCAACACAATTCAGTGATACTCAAATGAATGAATGTATAATTAATGGCCAGGAAGAACAAGTATTTTACTTACTAAATCTGAATTGGCAAATATTACCTTTCATGTATTCCTGTACACTTTTATTTTTCACTTGTTCTTTCCATACAATTTTACTAAGAAGATCTCCCCCCCCCCCCAAAAAATGTAATTGACATTACAATCAAATTTAAAAATATGCACAGTAGGAAAATCACTTGAATGTACAGTATTGCTATGGGAATTTCAGTGAACTTGGAATTATAGTGGAACAATAATTGGCTATAGTTTATCCAGGGGTGGGATTCTATAGAACTGGTTATTATGAGTCTGCACAGTTCAGCAAATCGGCAAATCGTGCCCTTGGTTGGCCCCGCCCCTCTCCACCTGCCCCTCTCTGCCCAGTCAGTCCTTATCGAGCATGCGCAACATTGCGCGCATGCCTGACATCGCTGACTGCGTTCTTCACTGCCTAGTCACTTAAGATATTTGTGATGAGCCGGAGTGTAACACAAACGTAATAAAATCCAAAATGTAAACAAATGTCCTTTAATGCCTCCAAATTGGCCCCACTGTTCAATAATTCTCAGTTGGAAAGAAAACGTATTCAAAAATAGTCTTCAAAAGAAAGCAATACAGTCCGAACTTAATGAGCAGATAAAGGTTAAATAAAAAACCCAAAACAAACTACAATGAAGGAAATTCCACAACGGACTAGGATAAGTGATTACCAACTTCAAGGAAATAACAAGGCACAGTCTGTTGGAAGGACGCCAACCAAGATAACTTCAGCCCAAAATAAAACACACTTTGCTTCTGGCAATGCTGTGTTTTAACCGTCTTTCTTATATACTATTCTCCACAGCTGCAACTAATGAGGGGGATCATGGCTGCTTCCTCTCTCGTAAGCCAAGTTATTTCCTTCTCCGTTCCTCCCTGCGTGTCCTAGGATGAAGAGGGGATGGGCCTGGTTCTTCCTCTGACTGTCCAGCCGGCCTCTGCCCTTCCCCAGACTCCTCCACAATCTCCCGAGCCACACCTCCACTTCCTGTCAGCTGTTACTTCTCTCTCTCAGAGTCCGACTCTAACAAGAGCATGACAGTATTTCTTTTTTTTCCCCTCCTGACGATCAGCTGTCCCTATGATCAGCTGTGCCAGGATTCCCCTCACTTACTGACTGCTTCACCCAGGAAATTTCCCTGAGGAAATTTCCCCCTGCCCCCTCCATTTTTTTGCCTTCCTGGGCCCCAGAGAAGCTTCCTGAGAGCTTCCTGGAGGCCCAGAAGGCCCCAAAACGGAGATTGGGGAGGTGCTGCACTCCCCCTCCTAGCTTGGTTTTTTTTTATTCCTGAGCCCCAGGAAAGCCTTCTGACAGCAAAAGCGCCCCCCCCCAGGAGGCTTCCCTGAGACCCAGAAGGCCCCCAAAATGGGGGGAGGTGCTGCAAAAAAGGAAGAAACCTCACCCCACCCAGTCACATGACCACGCCCACCTAGCCAATCCCAGAGAACCAGTTGTTACAAAATTTGAATCCCACCCCTGAGTTTATCATAATGTCAGATTTGTCTGTGAATATGAGTGTGTGTTGCCATTAATATAAGTCCACATTGTAAGAATAATGAATACAATTAGTGAAGCATTGCTTTCATTCTGATAGCTAATTTTGAAGCTGTTATAGGAAACAGTGTTTTTAAACTTATACTTAACATTTTCTACTCAAAATGGTAATTTCAATAGTCTCTTGATCATTGTACCTTCAGTATTTGCATCTTATTAAATTGTTGATACCTGGTTTTTCACAGTACTGTACTTGCTTCTAAGTCATGCTGTATTTCAGATACTCTTTTTTATTTTGTTTTTGTGTGGTAGAAGTTCTTTTAACAAGAAAATAGAAAACTGCTATATCAAATCAAGTGTTAATCTGATTTTTGTATCATTTGACTTGCTGCCGATTGCTAGAATAATTGAGGACAATTATAAAGAATTCAAAATATTTTATGTTTGTCACTGACAGGTTATGTAAGATACACTAATAAATATAAAAATTATTATTCTAGGAAAAAAATCTTAACTAATAGTTGTATTTCCTTCAAGAATTGTCTAAATTCGAATTGTCTCAAGTGTATACTTTTTTAAAAGGAAAGGACAAAACAGTCCTCTTGACTGCATTAATATGTCCATGTTTTTGTCCATATTGCTTTCTCTCTTTATGCTTTCTATTCTACATATAATTAGATTTTACCAGGATTTTTTTTCCCTACTAGTGTCCCATTCATTTTATAACCAGATCCAACACTGCTTCTCTTTTTCCCCCCAGATGGGTACATTTAGCTAGGATCAGGGATCTGCAAACAAAATTTGGACCCATTTCCCACAGAAAAGAAAACACCGGGAGCCACAAAACCTGGGTGGGCGTGGCCAACTCAACATCACGCACTCCCACCAAGTCACATGACACACACACACCCCAGCCATGCCTACCCAGGTTTTGTGGCTCTGGTATTTTCTTTTCTCTGGGAAACAGGTATTTCTCTGTCTCTGTCTCTGTGTCTCTCTCTCTTTCTCTGTCTCTCTCTCATCTCTCTCTCTTTTCCCCATTTTTCATCTCTCTTTCTCTCTCTCATCTCTCTCTCTTTCTCTCTCTCTTCTCTCCCTCTCTTCTCTTTCTCTCTTTCTCCCTCTCTATCCATCTCATCTCTCTCTCATTTCTCTCTCTTTCTCTCTCATCTCTCCCTCTTTCTCCCTCTCTTTCATTTCTCTCTCATCTCTTTCTCTCTCTCTCTCTCATGTGTGTATGTTCCCTCTTGAACCATTTCCAAAAACAGGTGAGGGTTGGGGGGTTCTTTTTTGCTGATGTTGTTCTTTCTTCTCCTTTGGGTGCTTTTTACCATATGATATATAACTCAAGAGTCATTTCAGGTTCCAGAATAAATGAAGTTCTTTCATCCCCCTGCTGTGGCTTCCTGTCAGCTGAACCCACCAGTGGCTGGCCTCACCCTCCCCTCCCACTCACTCCTCACCTGCCCTGAGAAAGGTGACAGTGGTGAATGGGACTCACTCCATGTTCTAGTACATGAGTGAACTGCTCCTCTGCTTGCTTCTTCTTTCGACCCTTGTTGGTGCTGCGCATGCCTCGGCTACTCGGGAAGATGCACAAATTCCTCTCCACCCTGAGACACTGACCCGGCCTGGCTGCAGCCAATGCTCCATGTCGTAATGGGCTCCAGGAGGAGGAGGGGATGTCGTCTCCCCCATCGTGAAGTGCGCTAAATTTAAGTGTGCTGCGCAAGGCACTGCAAGGGCAGCAAGCAGGCCATTGAGGTAGCAAGAGCAGCGGCGTCAGTGTCTTAGGGCAGAGAGAAAGACGCGTGTCTCCCCATATTCTTTTTGCCACCTCCATGGTCTGCTCGCTGCTTTGCAGTGCTTTGTGCAGCACACTTAAATTTAGCATGCTTCATGATGTACCCTTCTCCTCCTGGATGTACCCTTCTCCTCCTGGAACCCATTACAATGCAGGGCATTGGCTGCAGCCAGGCTGGGTCAGTGTCTCGGGGCGGAGAAAGTTGCGCGTCTCCCCTAGTGACTGAGGTGATGGAAGCTTTAACACCATCAAACAACATCTGCTTATCCCAGGGCCTTGGAAAGGACCCAGTGGGTAAATAAAAATGCTGTATCCAGCCAAAATATCTGGCTGATTGTATGACCAACCACAATAATGTAGCCATAAAATATGAATTGAAAGATTGTAACAGTATTAAAGGCTAAATAAAAATACCAAGTCTTGCATAAATGAAGTGTAAAATAGTTATTAACTTCTAAATGTTAATGTCATTATTTTAGCTTTTAGGAAACCGTTGGGCAACAATATGTAGATGGACAGAGGATCGTTGCTTTATTCTGCAAGATGTTCTTCGAAAATGGTTGCAATTTATTGAAGAACAGGTTAGGTATATCTATTTACTCTTTGCTTTATAATGTTTAATATGCAGTCCTTCTAAATATTTTTTTTAATTTTAGGGTCTTTTGGATACATGGTTTACTGAAAAGGAAGAATTTGTGACCACTATCCATACTACCGATTTCAAAGACCAGAAAGAAATGTTGGAAAATCTACAAAAATTGGCCGTATGTTTTTTTTTTTTTTTTGTGTGTGTGTGTGTGTAATTCTCATTTTTCCTCCCACTTTTCAACATTTGTATTGCATAAGAGCCGTGGTGGTGCAGTGGTTAGAATGCAGTACTCAGTGGTGGGATTCAGCTGGTTCTCAACAGTTCACCCGAACAGTTAATTGCTTATGCAGTTTGGAGAACCAGCTAAAAATAAAGTTCATGAAAGGTTTTTTTTCCCCTCTCCCTTCAGTTAATAGCTTTGGCCAGACAGCCAACAACAGTTACAGTTACAGCTGGAATGCAGCTGACACACCTTAAATAAAGTCAATAAAACAACAGAAACTGACAGGATTAGGGCAGAGAAACCCATCAATCACCCATCTAGGGATGGGATTAACCTCTTCCCTTCAGGAAGGACAAAATTACAAACATTTTCATTATAAAGATAATTAAGTAACACTTCTGTGATCAGCTGATACTCCCTGGAGTTCCCCAAGACTTTTGATAGCTGCTGTAGTGTTGGCTACTTCTTGTTTCTTCTTGGGGGGAAAAGATACAAAAGGAGACAATGATGCAGTTTGATCATACAGGCCATGAATGTAATGCATGTGTAGTCCAGCCAGTTGTATTGCTTCTGCTATGAAGAACATAGAGAACATAGAGAACATAGAATAATAGAGTTGGAAAGGTTAATGGCTTTTGGCAGCATGCCCAGGCTTTCAATTAGCATGAGTGGCCCTCTTAGTTTCCCTCTCAGCTGCTACATTTGCTTTGGAGTTGACTTTTTTTTAAAAAAGGGGGGCGGGAATGGCTGTTTTAGGTTTTTTGCATTGTTTTAGTGGTCCCTGGCATTGTCCTTTTAGGTGTACTTCCCTCACTCTGTTTGAAAGCCTCTAGTGATGGAACACCAACAACTTCTGAAGGCAAGCTATTCCCATTGGTTGATTGGTCAAATTTTAGGAAATTTCTCCTTACTCCTAAGTTGTTTCTCTCTTTGGTTAGTTTCTATCCATTATTTCTTGTTGTGCCTTTTGGTATTTTGAAAAATAGATTGACTTCCTCATTTTTGTAAGAGCCCCTCAAATTTCCTGACAGTTAGAAAAATTAATCAGTGGAACAACTTGCTTCCAGAAGTTGTAAATACTCCAACACTGGAAGTTTTTAAGAAGAGATTGGATAACCATTTGTCTGAAGTGGTGTAGGGCAGTGGTCCCCAACCTTTTTTGTACCAGGGACCAGTTTCAAGCACAAACACTTTTTCAAGGACCGGGGGGGTGGGGAAGAATCCGAGTTTGGTGGTTTGCTTGCAGACGTTTCATTACCTGACTAGGTAACATCTGATGTTGTTACAGGGAGTGCCTCGGCCCTGCCTCCCTCAGCCCCATCCCTCAGGTGTCTCCCTCCCTCCCTCAGGTGTCTGCCTCGTTCCTCTCTCAGTCGCTCTCTCGCTGCTCCACCAGCCCAGGAAGAAACTGCTTCAAAGAAGCCGGGGGGGGTGGCTTTTCCTGTCGCCGCAGCTCCTCCAAAGCGCCCGTTTACCCCCACCCCGCCCGCCCATGCGCGGTTCAATCCACAGTGCTCCGTTCTGCCTGCCTGCCTGCCTTCTTCGTTTCGGAGTAGGTTCGGCTGATAAAAAGAGGCGAATAGTTATTATTCTCACCAGAAATGAAGAAGGCAGGCAGGCAGGCAGAACGGAGCACTGTGGATTGAACCG